AAATTGAAGAGTTAGATAATCTACTAGTTGAGGAAATAGCTAAAATGAAAATTAAGTGGGAAGTTATCATCATGGGTGACTTTAATCTTCCTGATGTGAATTGGAAAACAAAAATAGCTGCTTGTGACAGGAGCACACATATTCTAAACTCCCTACTGGGATTGTCTCTAAAACAAGTCGTTGAGGAGCCAACTCGTAAAAGGCCATACTAGATTTTGTGTTAACAAATGGAGATTTGGTATCAGATATTACTGTAGGTGAAAGTTTAGGATCCAGTGATCATCAGTCAGTGTGGTTTAATATAAGAACAGTGACTGAGTCACACCACACAAAAACAAAAGTTTTAGACGTTAGAAAAACAGACTTTTCTAAAATTGGAATATGTGTAAAGGAGTCATTATCAGACTGGAGCAATTTAAATGGAGTCCAAGAGAAATGGGATTATTTATAAGTTGCACTACTGAAGGCAACAGAAAATTGCATTAGGCTTGTCAGTAAAAGCAAAAAATTCAAGAAACCGCTGTGGTACTCCGCAGATGTGGCCAAAATAGTTAAAAACTTTAGCATTTAGTAATTATAAAAAAAACAGAGTGAGGAAGACAAAATGATCTATAAGATTAGTCAGAAAGAGGCTAAGCAAGTTATAAGAGCTTCCAAATCATACACAGAAGAGAAAATAGCACAGTTAGTAAAAAAAGGGGGACAAAACTTTTTTTAGATACATAAATGAGAAAAGAAAAGTAAAACAAGGATTAGTTAGATTAAAACAAAAGAAGGAAGGTATGTAGAAGAGTATAAAGGTCTAGCTGACTGCCTCAATGAATATTTTTGTTCGGTATTTACAGATGAAAATTAAGGAAAGGGACCTCAGTTAAGAAAAGGATAAATTAGTAATTTATTGCATGTGAGTTTACAGAGGAAGAGGTTCTATTTCAACTGTCAAAAGTAAAGACAAATAAGTCAATGGGACCTGATGGAATACATCCAAAGCTATTGAAAGAGTTTAGTGGTGTACTAGCAAAACTAACAACAGATCTATTTAACCAATCATTGATAACAGGAGTAGTCCCAGAAGATTGGAATTGGTAATAGGGAGGAGTCGGGCAACTATAGGCCAGTAAGCCTTACTTCAGTAGTGGGGAAAGTGATGGAAACCATGTTAAAGGATAGGATTGTTGAACATCTAAAACACATGGATTTCAAGATCAGAGACAACATGGGTTTACTTCAGGGAGATCATGCCAAACTAATCTTAATGATTTTTTTGATTGGGTAACTAAAATAATAGATCAGGGTGGTGCAGTAGACATTGCTTACCTAGATTTCAGTAAGGCTTTTGACACTGTTGCACATAGAAGGCTTATCAATAAACTGCAATCTTTAAGTTTGGATTCAATATTGTTGAATGGGTAAGGCAGTGGCTGAGTGACAGGCAACAGAGGGTTGTAGTTAATGGAATATATTCGAAGCTTGGACTTGTCACCAGTGGGGTACCTCAGGGATCTGTACTTGGACCCATTCTCTTTAATATTTTTATTAGTGATATTGCAGAAGGTCTTGATGGTAAGGTATGTCTTTTTGCTGATGATACTAAGATATGTAACAGGGTTGATGTTCCAGGAGGGATAAGCCAAATGGCAAATGATTTAGGTAAACTAGAAAAATGGTCAGAATTGTGGCAACTGACATTTAATGTGGATAAGTGCAAGATAATGCATCTTGGACGTAAAAACCCAAGGGCAGAGTACAGAATATTTGATAGAGTCCTAACCTCAACATATGAGGAAAGGGATTTAGGGGTGATTATTTCTGATGACTTAAAGGTAGGCAGACAATGTAATAGAGCAGCAGGAAATGCTAGCAGAATGCTTGGTTGTATAGGGAGAGGTATTAGCAGTAGAAAGAGGGAAGTGCTCATGCCATTGTACAGAACACTGGTGAGACCTCACTTGGAGTATTGTACACAGTACTGGAGACCGTATCTTCAGAAGGATATTGATACTTTAGAGATAGTTCAGAGAAGGGCTACTAAACTGGTTCATGGATTGCAGGATAAAACTTACCAGGAAAGGTTAAAGGATCTTAACATGTATAGCTTGGAGGAAAGACGAGACAGGGGGGATATGATAGAAACATTTAAATACATAAAGGGAATCAACACAGTAAAGGAGGAGACTATATTTAAAAGAAGAAAAACTACCACAACAAGAGGACATAGTCTTAAATTAGAGGGACAAAGGTTTAAAAATAATATCAGGAAGTATTACTTTACTGAGAGGGTAGTGGATGCATGGAATAGCCTTCCAGCTGAAGTGGTAGAGGTTAACACAGTGAGGGAGTTTAAGCATGCGTGGGATAGGCATAAGGCCATCCTAACTATATGATAAGGCCAGGGACTAATGAAAGTATTTAGAAAATTGGGCAGACTAGATGGGCCGAATGGTTCTTATCTGCCGTCACATTCTATGTTTCTATGTAAGTAAGATAAAAAGAAAAACAAATTCAATAGAAATTAAAAATAAAAATAACATTAGAATAAAAATAGGAAAACAAGTCGGATCAGCCTTACAGCTTTCCTTTCTTAAAGGGCCAGCACAAAATCTGCATTAAAACATTTTTAAAATTGTTTTCGTTAAAAAAGTGTAAGTTCATCCCAGAAAATGGCAGAGTTCAAACTCAGCATTCAATCCCTTCGGCTGCAGCATATTTTGATTGTATATGCCTTTCATCTCGGTGATGCCCAATTGTTTATTATGATCACCTCCTCTCCAATTTTTATTTACTATACATTTCAGAAGGCTCATATCTGAATTGTGTTCTTGTTTGAAATGGGCTGAACCGAGTGCTGCATATATCCTTTCCTTATGTTCAGCATATGTTCTCTGACTCTAACGTACAATTGCCTCTTGGTTCTTCCTACGTACTGGAGCCCACACGGGTACTCCAGTACAGAGATCACGTTATATGTTCTTTTATTTTAAAAGATTCTGTCGGCTTCTTAGAGTTCCTTTTCATGACTTCAAATACTCCTTTCATTTGCTTGTTCCTACTTGTTTTGCATGCGATGCAATCTAGGCAATAAAAGAAACCACTCTTTTTCATTTTAGTTTCATCTTTTTCGTTTTAGTTTCATCTCTCCTTCCTCTTTGGTGCTTGTTTGTCATTTTCCTTCTTAGATTTGGTGCACCCCTGAAAATAATTCTAGGTCTATCCGGTAGACTGCCAGCAAGTATTTTATCTTTTTTCAACAGTTGCCAATGTTTTGTGAGTATTCTCTTTAATTGTGCGTTCTCTTTATTGTAATTTAAGATAGTTGCTGGGAACGCTTCTCCTGGTCTTGTTGCTTGTAGTTTATCTTTTTTCTTTAGGAGATTGGTACGGTCTAAGTCATACTCTACGTAGTGCATCCTCTATTTCTTTGTGTTCATAATTTTTCGACAGTAATTTCTTCTTCACTATCTCTGACTGTTCCCTGTAGACTTCATGGTCTGTACAGTTGCGTCTCAGGCGCCTGAATTCATTGTAAGGTACATTTTTTTAACCATGCAGGTAAATGACAACTCTCTTTAAGGACGAAGCATTTGGGAAACCTTAACTGGACTTTTATTCATTTTCTCCACATTATTGGATTTATTTACGTTTTTTTTGTATTGTTTTGAATATAACCAATTAGCTATATACAATCATTTAGAAGAGAAGGGTTTCATAGTTATTTTGTCAAATATCAGTAATCAGTCAATTATATTAACATGGGGAGAAGGGGAACATGGAGAGAGAGAGAGAGAAAGAGAGGGGGACATGGAGCGAGAGAAGGAGAGGGGGACATGGAGAGAGAGAGAAGGAGAGGGGGGACATGGAGAGAGAGAGAGAAGGAGAGGGGGGGAACATGGAGAGAGAGAGAGAAGGAGAGGGGAACATGGAGAGAGAGAGAGAGGGGGAACATGGAGAGAGAGAGGGAGAGAGAAGGAGAGGGGGGAACATGGAGAGAGAGAGGGAGAGAGGAGGAGAGGGAGAACATGGAGAGAGAGAGAGAGGGGGAACATGGAGAGAGAGAGGGAGAGAGAAGGAGAGGGGGGAACATGGAGAGAGAGAGGGAGAGAGGAGGAGAGGGAGAACATGGTGAGAGAGAGAGAGGGGGAACATGGAGAGAGGAGGAGAGGGAGAACATGGAGAGAGAAGGAGAGGGGGAACATGGAGAGATAGAGAATGAGAGGGGGGAACATGAGAGAGGGGAGAAGGAGAGGGGGAACATGGAGAGG